TAACTCACAGCCAATTTTGGATCCACTTCCATCAAAAATTAGATTGATCTATTTTCACTTTCCCTTGCCTTTCTTAATTTGTTTGCCTCGTTAAATATCTTGGTTGAGGATGCCCACATTTGTCTGAGGATGCCCATATTTGGCATTCTTCAATAAAATGTAGTTTACTTCCTCTCAGCAGTGGACATAAGAAAAATGAGGTGTTCGTTAGCTAACAATAACATCTGAGAAGATTGCAAATGGTGGGCACTTGGCAATTGGTCTTAAGTGCAAACAGGTTGTCAAGTATCCACATCATGATTATGTGAAGGGGGGAAGTCAGTGCAATGTATTACAATAGGAAATGCTTTACAGACCATAAAAAACACTACCTGTAGCTCCAAATAGTAGTCGTTGAAGAATGGTGGCCTTGTTTTATGTTTGTGGGTTTTCCTTTGGCAGTTGTGAAATAAACTGTCTTAAACTGAGATTTTGGAACAGATTCAACAAGACATTTCTCAGTTAGATATGAATTTCTTGAACTGGGGGGATGTATTTAATATTTTAGTGCTACCACAAAATATCTTTCACCTGAGATCCAGCTTCCAAGTAAATGCCAGTTGGAGAATAGTCAGTCACAAAGTATTCTATCAGAAATTTTGGCTCTGTCCTAGCTATCCTCTTATTAGCCTTCTGAGATATTATCACCCAGAGGTGATATTCAGCAAGTTCTGACCAGTTCTGGAGAACCAGTAGCAGAAATTTGGAGTAGTTCGGAGAACCGGCAAATACCACCTCTGACTGGCCCCACCCCCATCTATTCTCTGCCTCCCGAGTCCCAACTGATCAGCTGGGTCTTCTTTTGTTGCCCCGCACAGGAGAATGGAGCTGGAAAATAGGTTAGTGGGGTAGGAGGGAATGGGATTTTTCAGTAACCTTTCCCCAGGAGTAGGGAGAGAATGGGGATTTTGCAGTAACCTTCCCCTGGAGTCAGGTGGGAATGGAGATTTTACAGTAACCTTCCCCTGCCTTGCCCACCAAGCCACACCTACCAAGCCACACCACGCCCACCAAGCCACACTCACAGAACCGGTAGTACAAAAATTTGAATCCCACCACTGTTATCACCCCAGTCTATGTTTGTCTGTAGAAGACGGATTAAACAAATTAAGATGCAATCTAAAAGAACCTAAAAATAAATTATAATTCGGTAGTTGCCCATGAAGCTGTTTTAGGCATATTGATGTTCATAAGATGTTCTTAAACATGATCTGCATGCCTCACAAGTGTCCTATGCAGTTGCTGAATAAAATTGTATGAAAATGTGGCACTAAAAGCTTTGCTTAGCCAAGCCCATGACTTGATTCCAAATCTGTATAGCAAAATGCAATGGCTCTGTCAGCTAGCCAGAGAAAAAAGCTTTTGTAATCATGCTATATACATAATAAAGATTGTTGCAAAATAATGAACTGATAAATTGACCTTCCTTGCACAAATAAAGTTAAGATATGTTAACTAAACATACCAGCCTACTTACTCATTAGTTCTTGACTTTTATTATTTGAATATGTATCAAGGATTTTATTACACCAAGTCAATAGGAGACTGCAGATAGAAGCAAAGGACACACAGTTGCCTGTAGGCTCACCCTAAATTACATAGATTATGACAAATGCATTGGAATGTCCAAGCAATCTCTCTAATCTCTATTTGAAAAGGAGAGTTCTTGCTTCTGGACTGAGGTCCAGAATAATAGTAGTAAATGTACTCAGTCACAATAGCTACTAATTTGACAAGAATGGAAGGAAGACAGATACCCCCTTCCAAAGTAAAATACAACTTGCATATAAATTATGTATATAGATGCAAATTGGAAATTCTTGTCATAATTCAGTAATGAATTTTACTGAACTCCACCTCTAAATAGCCTAGGTAGCATGATTTATTGTGAGAGATAATGGGTATTGCAGCACAGCATCTGGAGTTGTTGCTAAATGTTCATGTAATTAAATACAATACTTGCTTGCATCAGAATGGGAAAGATTGTTTCTAGATAACCTGTTCAGTTTGTTTTCCAAATTTGGACGAGCAAGTACTCTTTGTCTTTGGACCAAATTGCTTTTTTAAACACGTGCTGCTATTAACAGAGGATTGTCCTCAATTAAGCAGAACATAATAATTCATCAACAATGAAAGGATGTCTATAGAGATTCTCAGTCATCCAGGTCATGGTTGTCTCAAAGGTGCTTTTTCAAGAGGCAGCTGGACTTTGTTTTTCTTGGAAGACGTTTCACTTCTCATCCAAGAAGCTTTGTGAGCTCTGACTGGAAGGTGGGGAATGGAAGGATGTATTTTCCTTGCAGACAGCTGGTCATTTGCATTCGTTTAGAACACGGGTGTCAAACTCACCATGTCATATTGCCTTCACATGATGTTTCGTGATGTTTTTCCCATTCGCAGGGAAAAATTCGGGTGGGTGTGGCCTGCACATGACGCATCCGGCCCATGGGCCACCAGTTTGACACCCCTGGTTTGGAGAATTGTTGAGGCCACTTTGGGGTTTGTCTGTGTCCTCAGGGTCACCTGAGTAATGTAAATGGGTGTAGAGCCTTCTTGGGTGAAGTCTGTGTCCACCAAGAAAACAGACATTGAAATGAGCTGGTAGCTCACAGAAACACCTGGAAGTGGCCCAACAAGTAAGTTTGGTGGTTGATGGTCCTGAGAAGCAGCATAGAATATGGACAGTGGCCATCACATAACATAATCCTAAATCTATTGGATTATATGAAGCTATACATTAGATTTTCTTTGGCTGATTGTCCTACCATAGGGGGTCATGGTAAGCTATTAAAATGTTGCTTCTGTTGAATTTTGTACAATATCACCATTTTTTGCAATAAATCATTAGCTGGCTTAGGCTGGGTTAGCAGCACTAGTCAATGGTTTATAGGCCTCCTTGAGCATTAGTAGAAAAATTGACACTGATTCCAATTTCCAGTAATTATTTTATCTACAATTTATTATCTTCAGGAAAAAAAAACCTATGAACTAATTGGGCATGGATCTGAATAGGGAAAAGCTGGAGTTTCCAAAATTCTGTTCTCCACAGATTGCTAGCTGGGCTGACCGTGTGCCTTTTCATCAGAGGCCTTAATACAGGTCATAATTGCATTCTATCACTGTTTTGCGGGGTTCCTGAACCACAAGTTGAAAAGCTTCCCCTTCCCAAGTAGCAATGGTATTTATCCAGGATACATTGACTCTAAAGATCATATCTTCCTTGCCAGTTGGCAGGTATAGACATTCATACATCTCAGTCATCCTCAGTAAACATAAGAAAAATCTCATATAGATGCAGATTAATACCCATAGCTGCTTTGCGGAAAACTGGGAAATTAAGAATATTTTAAACATCAAGCAAAAATTGCTGGAAGGAGACTGGAAAATAAGCATGGTCTATTATCTTCCCCGCTCTCTGATATACAGTTGGGAGCTTCAGAATTCTGTGGGGAAGTGAAAACACGAAAAGCAGAGGGATCGTCTATTTAAGAATTCTATATTTATGTAGAGATAGGTAAAGACAGGATTGGTCTAGTGGTCAAGGCACCAGGCTTAGAAACCCAGAGACCACAAGTTCTAATACAGGTAGTCCTTGACTTACAACAGTTCATTTAGTGACTTTCAAAGCGACAATGGCACTGAAAAAAGTTGACTTATGACCACACTTAACCACTTTTGTAGCATCCCTGTGATCAAAATTCAGATGCTTGGTGACTGGTTCATACTTATTGACTGTTGCTGTGTCCCGAGGTCACCATTTGCGACCTTCTGGCAAGCAAACTCAAAGGGGAAGCCAGAGTCACTTAACCGTGTTATTAACATATCAACTGCAGTGATTCACTTAACAATTGTGGTAAGAAAGGTCGTAAAATGAGGCAAAACTCACTTAGCAAAATCTCACTTAACAACAAAAAAATTGGACTCAATTGAATCGTAAGTCGAGGACTACCTGTACTGCTTTAACCCTGAAAGCCAGCTGTGTTACTTTGGGGCAGTCAGTCTCTCAATGCAACTTGCCTCACAGGGTTGTTGTGGGGGAAATGGGAGGAGGGAGACACTCTGTGTCAGTTACGTTCGCCCCTTTATTTAAAAAAAAGACAGAATATAAATCCTTTGTATTAGTTATGAAATTTATTTTTTCATAACTAATACAAGTTCCTGGCTAAGTGCAACTCTAATATTTTTTCTCTGTCCACACAGTAACTGTAATTTAGCTTTTTATACATGTTGTGCGTGAGGATTTTTCTTTTCGTATGGTCTCTAGGATTAAACTTGCTATCCTCTCTCATTTTTGGAGGCATCATGGTAAATAAGGTAATTTTATGCTAGCATATGATAGTGAATTCACTGAGGGGGAGAAGAGATTGTTGGGGCAATATGTTGGAAATGTATCTTTTTATATGACAAACGCTGAAGCAGGAGCATTTTACATTAAGTAGAGTGTATATAACTTGCACATTAACAACCCACCTAATGTTGCTCCCTTCCTTGATTTGCTCTGCCCTCTAGTGGTTTAAAATTGCATTTGCTTAATTTAATAGATTACAACATGAAAAAAAATCCCTGCGTTAAGATAGGTCCAAATATCCAAAATTACGAAACAATAGATCTCGAACGAAAATCCAAATCTGTTAATCATTACCCTTAGACCGCTTTTAGAATTTTTTTAAAAAAAACATATAAAATCCACAAAGCACCTAAGTTACACCTTTAAGACATGGTTAGACATTTATTAACATTTAATAAAATACACTTAATAAAACAAACCACTGTTGCGCTGTTACGCATTCCCCAAATCCCTAAACTAAAAGGGAGCCGAGGATCAGCCGGATAAGCAGAGCATGCGCGATTCCCAGCCCAAGCGCTCGCTCTGTCCCCTCATTCCTCCTAGCATGCGTGCGCCCGAAAATTTCATTTCCGTAATTCGCGCAATCCGTCTCTCCGGAGAGGGAATCCTGCGGGCCCTCTGACGTCGGCAGCGTAAACACCTATGAGAATAGCCGCCGTGCATTCCGGTTGGATAAACTGACCGACCTTTGGATTTCGGCAAGTAATAAGCGGAAGTTGCTCTCGCTTGCCTTTCCCTCTGGTTTTGGTGGTTCGCCGTCGCCTGACGTTACAGCATGGCCACCTCAAGCAGCTTCCGTCTTCTCTTTCGAGCCGCGCCGTCTTCTTGCTGGCGGCTTCTGGCGGCTCCTTTCCGAGCCGGCAGTACCTGGAATAACGCAGCCCGCCTTGGCTCTTGCCGGTCCTTCCACGCGGCGACGGGGCTAAGGTAAGGGGCTCCGTCCCGTCAACCTTCCCGGCCTGAATTGGAAGTGGGGCGACGGGTACCTCTCAGGGATCGCTCACCTCTGCTCTCGTTCCTAAGGAGTTAACGGCGCCAAATGAGGAGGGAAATCCCGGGGTTGGGTGGTGAAGGCAAGGCGTAGAGCAGTACCTGGGCTAGGCTAGATCAGCTCGAGGTCACAGAAAAGGCCAGGCGTGACTTTGGTCACGGTCACCCACGCAATATTGTTGTACCTGGGCTGCGACAACGGCTTTTTGTAATGTGACCTCGGTGTTGTGCGAATGCGGCCCCTGAGGTCAATTTATAGGTAAGTGTATTGTTCGAGCCCAGAAAAACCGATAAACCGTGTTTCTGTTAACTATACAACTGTCTAATCTGGAAGAGGGTCTACCTGTTTGTGACTTTGACTTTACATAAAATACTTTCACTTAGATTTGTTTGTTTATGACTTAGCAAAGTGTATAAGTGTATAATATGAAAGCCTATTAACTCTGTCAATAAGCTGCAATTAATTATGCCATGGCCTAAAGTTTCATATGTGTAGAGTTTCATCTTATGAAGTGCCTACTTACTCCCTATGTGAAAGTTGGATGGTGTAAACAAAATAATTGCTTGTGAGACACTTATGCTAGCCTTTGTTGTTGAGAGTTACAGTAGAAGCAAAGCAACCGATGGTTTGAAGGGGCCCTTGGTGCTATCTGAGCTAGCTTGTTTTCTTGCAGACATTTCATTACACAAACTAAGTAACATCAGTGCTAGTCACTACTACTGCAAGGAAACAAGCAAGCTCAGAGAGCACTAAAGACCCCTTCATGTCAACTCTGAGCTACAAATATTCTCCTTTATTGGTAATTATGGTTCCTCCATGTAAACAAAATTCAGTCAACAAATATGAATCCCACACACAATATGAAGCAAGCCTTGAAGTCACATGGGCACAAGACCCATCTTGTTCTTTTAAACTGGATTGCTGAAATTGGACTTCAAACAAGGAAAGAGAAGGTCAAGTGAAAACTTGCCACTACAATATTGCAAGATAACTCCTATGCTTATGTAATCACTGTCTGGCAGTTGCACTTTCTTTTTGCAAAGTAGAGAAAAACATTCTCTAAGCATTCCAGATCTGCTCTGGAATACCCCCCCCCCCATCCCATATGCATGAAAAGAATAACCTATACAAGTTCTACATATTGGATTCCACCCACGTTGATACAGTAGTACATATTTTGTACTTGTGCAAGATTTCTGCTTCATTCAGCTTAGTTGGACTTAAAAAGAGCCATGGTAGTTAGAATGCAGTACTGCAGGCTAACTAACTGCTGACTACCAGGAGTTTGATTCTGACTGGCTCAATCAAGGTTGACTCAGCCTTCCATTCTTTTGAGGTTGGTAAAATAAGGACCTAGATTGTTGGGGGAAATATGCTCTGTAAACTGCTTAGAGAGGGTTGTAAAGTACTATCAGGCGGTATATAAGTCTAAATGCTATTGCTGTTATAGTTGTTTGATTAATTAAAGCGCCAAAACAGCAATAAGTCAAAGGTAGGCGTCTCAGCAGGCTTTAGTTCCCTAATTAGGTGGCTATTTAATCAACTGTTGTCATGATGCTGAGATGCAGCATTCACAATTTGACAACCAATGACTGCTACTCCTCTGCCACTAATAACGACCTGGAAAGATGAGGGATTATCTGTCCAGAGTCATGAATTTGAGATGACTATCTGATACATTGAAATAATAAACATTATTAGCATAAGTGCATTGTGTGCACTTAAATATCACATTTGAGATCAGAAGGGCTAGTAAAATAAAGTTCAAGTTAAAACTTGAGTCTTGTTAACAGTGTCTGTGTGCTCTTGCCATCTAAACTTTTTTAAAAAAATTCTGGTAAACCTAAACATGGTAAACTAAAGCCCTCATCCCTGAGATTTCTAGATTTCTCATTCAGATAGCATTCAATTTCAGGCTCTCTTACCCTTTTCAAGATGTCATTGTGGTCAGTTAGGTTCTTCTATATTCTATGAACAAAAAAAAAAAAGGTGCCCAAACAGGCTTTCAATAGCCTGAATCCAGCATATCCAGAAAGAAAATGCAACCAGTACTGGTCAAACCAGTTAGTTCAAACCCACAGGAGATCATTTTTCTTATAAATTAGAGATCATTTTCAGGAGATTAAAGGGCTGAATGAAGAACATGCAGTTTTTCAGTGGCAGCAGAGAACAACCTCTCAGGAATGATCATGTTAGCACACTCCTTATTGATATTCTGAAAATTACTAAAAAATAACCTTTTGGGTGTTCTAGAAATGATTAAAAGTTTTCAAGAGCCATTTCTAATTATTTTGGATTGTTTGTGTTATGTCTGGTTTATGCTGTTTTTATTTTTAACGGTAGTTTGTACCAAGGATGTTTCAAATGGTTTTATATTACATAAGTTGCTGAAGACCATTGATTGCTATAAAGTATGAATATGAAAAATAAATGATTATAGGTGCTATGAAAATACTCAGTTTCTAACCTCTGAACTAAGTAGTTTTTCTAACAGAATTGTTAGAAAATTCTGTTGTAGCAGAATTGAAATAATTCAACCATTTTAATTGTTCACAGTTGTGATACTTTCATTTTAGTTATTTTGCCTTATTGTTTCTTCAACTTAGTCCACCTATACAATAAATACAGATTTATTAATCTTGAGATTTCTGTGCCACTCTAAATGGTCATATCAATCTGTACCTAACGTAAATTATATTCTTTATTGTGAAGAGATGAATTATGAAGTGACCTCTTGACTATTATGATTGCCATCTTAGTTACACAAGCAAGGAATCTATATAGACATAGATTCTGTAGTAGCCGTGGTGCGCAATGGTTAGAATGCAGTATTGCAGGCTGACTCTGACCACTGCCAGAAGTTCGATCCTGAGCAGCTCAAGGCTAAGTCAGCCTTCCATCCTTCTGAGGTTGGTAAAATGAGGATTCAGAATTTTTGGGGACAATATGCTGACTCTGTAAACCATTTAGTGCTCTAAAGCACTATGAAGCGGTGTAAGTGTTGGGGTTCCGATGGATGCCCTAATTCATTCATGAGCTATTGCTAAGTGCTGTACACATACAAACACACACACATGCTGCATAAGAATAATAAGGAATAAATACAATTTTGTCTTTAATCACTGTTCCGCAGCATCCTCTTTTATGAATGAAAGTACAAGGCAGGCTAATTCTGATTGGGAAAGATGATCCTGCAAGTACACAGGCACCAGGTCTTTACAGGGCTTTAAGATTAAAAACCAGCACATTAATATGGCCCTTGATACTGTAATCAAAAAGACCCTAAGCAGCTTACATAGAACTTAATAGAAGAATTCAAACATTCATAATAGTATATAAAACCACACAAGAATTTAACGAACGGCAGCAAGAACAACAACAGCAAACAGTACCAGACCAAAAAAATTAGAGTGAAGGCAGAGACAAAAATAAATAAAGATAGCACCATAAAATCGGGAAGGTTCTCTGAAACAATTTTGTCTTCAACTATTTTTATCAAAATGATGTTTTGAAAGTAGTTGAAGACAAGGTTGTTTCAGAGAACCTTTCCCTCATTTTAGGATGTTCTCTTTATTTCCCCTCCTTTCTCTTTCTCCTCCCACCTAATTCTTCTTATATGAAATTGGAATTGAGTTGGGTTTTGGGTTTGGTTTATTGTTATTGGTATCTAAGTCTGAGGACAGTTCCATTATACAGTAGTATTTGTTGAAAGATTTTATTGTGTTTCTATTGAATATAATTGAGAATCACCTAGGATTATCATATATAAGACAAGAAGCCATATAAGTTTTCTAAATAAATATATTTAGTCTTCGTAAACCAATATTTACTTGTACTGAAAAACAGTGTCGTAAAAAATTGGATTAAAAGAGGACAATAAGGTACTGATTTTTTTTTCAGCTCGGAAGAAAAAGTTACAGTACACTTTATAAATCGTGATGGTGATAAATTAACAGCCAAAGGAAAGGTTGGAGATTCACTTCTAGATGTTGTGATAGATAACAATCTAGACATAGATGGATTTGGTAAGTAAATGTATTTCCTTTCCTAGAAGAAATTTAAGTTGACTTTTTTAACAAAAGAATTGAAACTGACTTTTGATTCAAAGTTAACCACTTCTGAGCAAAAGCACTAGTATAAGTTTATATTTTTTTACTAAAATTAGGAAAAAGAATAATATTGTTGGTTTGTGTAACTCTTCCACAGCTATATGTTTGTTCTGGCATCAGTTACTATTACTGAATTGTAGTTTATTCTTCTACAGGTACTCCTTGATTTACAACCACAACTGAGCCTGCAACATTGGTTTTAAGTCGTTGCAGTCTTTAAGCAAGATGACCGCCTTGCTCAACAACCACAATAACATCTCTCCCCTTTGTGGTGGTTAAGTGGATGGAGTGAAAGAGCTCCGTGTCAAGGGGGGGGGGGCAGCCTTCCTCTGTGCGCAGAACTGCTGCATTTGGCCAGATGGATTTTGCTCATGTGAGGCGAAATCAGTCTGACAGGCTGGCTCCAAGTACCCATACTGTATGCACCCTGAGCCAAAATCCCACTTGGCTCTTACCAAGGACTTTTTCATTCAGCATCTTTGAGAGCAAACAAAATGCTTAGTGCCCCACATGAGGTAAAATCAATCTGGCAGGCAGCCCTTTTGCTCCAAATAGATGGTTGAAAAAGTTTCATCCCTAAACCAGACATTTTTCCATTGACTTTCTGGGAAACCTGACAGGAAAGATTTCAAATGATGATCATGGGTGCTTGGCAACCTGTCTGTCGTAATTGCAAGTGGACTGCCAAAAGTTCACATTGCAAGTCACATGACTGCAGGAGTACTGCAACAGCAGTAACTTCGTGCATCGATTCTTAGTCTCTTTGTTCAGCATCGTCATAATTTTGAATGGTCATTAAATGAATGATCATTGAGCTGGATTTATACATTGTGTTAAACCATATTCTTATCATAATTTTTGGACAGGACATGGGAGCAAATTTTAAAATAATTGTAAGACATCAGCAAACATTTACAGATGTAATCGTAGGGATTCCATAGGTAACCCTAAGCCAAAAGCAAACAAACTGGGTTATGGCTTAAATAAAATATGTGAATTTTTCTGAATCACATATAATTAGTGATTTTTCTCTTTATATTTTTCTCTTTGCTGTACCATTTACCTTGCCGCCTTCTTTGGCCTCAGACATGTGGTTCTTCTGGTTTTGGTTTCTTTGAAGCCAAAGAATTCTCTAATGCATTGCACTAAGTCAATCACTTTTTGAAATGTGATTATTCAAAAATATTTAAATATAACCTTTTTCAGTGAATTATGGAAGTTTACAATGTATAGGCAGTACAACAGCGAACATTTTAAAAGGTAGATAAATTGTGATTAACAGAAGTAAAAATGTCAAGAAAGATTTAAGGGGTAGTCAACTTAGAAAACAAAAAATTAGCCTCAAAGACTAATTTGCATGTCTTAACACAGTGGAATGATATGGCATCTTTAAACAGACTTCATACTTTTTAATATTCCAAATACAAAAAGTAAAATCAAAAAGTTTAGTATTGTCCATATTTAAAATTCCCAGTCCTCTAAAAAAATGATCAATTATATTGGTAATGCCTAAAAAAAGAAAACATGGTCTGTTCCAGCTTTTTTTTATGTCACTAGGGGGCATAGCAGGCATACAGATAACATGTTGACATTTAACGCTTTAAATATTTGCCTGCTTGATGAAATCCTTCTCTTGTTTAGCATAATTCTTGTTCAATTAAGAAATGCTATTACTGTTACAACACTATTGGTCATGTTTTATCTTTTTTATTTTGGCTTTATAGCTGTAGTTTATCTGTATTATAGACATAGGTATATCTTCTGCCTACATTATCTTGATCTGTCATTACTAATTGATGATGCCTATGATATTACGGTATATCTTTAAACTATATTGTACAAATATTGTATCTGCCTACTTCAACCTTATGTCCTCAGATGTATTGAATTAAAATTGTCCCCAAAGTGGTTATGATTTGTGAAAGATTTAGTTCAATGCAATTCCTCTGTAATGACTTTGGTGAAATTATAAACAATACTGTTGCTTCCTGTTAATACACTAATTTGTGTTGCAACTTTCATAGCACTTTAAGCTTATTTCATACATTGTTTGCCATAATACCTGTGAAATGTTAATTGTCAGGAAGAGGTATCATCAACCCTTCAGTTCTCTCTCTCCACTTTATATACTGCCATGTTTCTCTATGATGGTGTTTGTCTCACATTAATGTATGGGGTTATGTTGTTGATATTGAACACAAAACGATGTTCAAAGGTAATGAATTAAATGCATACCTAATTTAACTTTAGGTGCATGTGAAGGAACACTTGCCTGCTCTACATGTCACTTAATCTTTGAAGACCACATATTTGAAAAATTAGATGCAATTACAGATGAAGAAATGGACATGCTGGACCTTGCCTATGGCTTGACAGAAAGGTAAGGTGGAATCAATATAAAATCGTTGAGAATATCTTCACTGTTTTTATTCAACTGACCAAGTGCTGTTTAGATAAAGGACAAGCAGTGTCTAACCTGCCCATAGAAATTACTCTTGATAGATATCATGCTCCCTTTTCCACCTGTTCTTTAATATTTAAATTTGAAAAGGAGAGATTTATTTATTTATACATCAGATTTAGAGATCATCTATCTCAGTCACAAAGTGATTCTGGGTGGTATACAATTAAAAATATAAAAAACAAATATGGTTTTATTTATTAAAATATTTATCCACTGCATATAGGCTAATAAACATTCTTAGAGAATGGTGTACAGCTGCAGTCCAGAGTTCTGTTTAAATGTGTTTCCTGTTTAGAAAACTAAGATGCTCTGGGATAATAGAGAGCAGAGTGGGGAGTGATGTAGAATGTGGTGTGAATTAACTTCATTAACACTTTGTGATTTTAGCATATTTACTGTGCCTGTCAATAATGGGCATTTTAGTAGAATATTTACTCCCACTTTCAAAATTCAAATTTTCAAATGTGCCCAGTAGCCTTGCTGATGTTACTATCTACTTTTTGTCTGCAAAATATCATCAGTTATCAAGTCAAGAGAGGACTGAACATTTTTGCTTCAGCATTTAGTAAATGGTGATTTATGAGTTTAATCCAAATCTATTTGCAGAGTTGACTTACGTTGTCTATACCTAGATACTGAATTTTGGCCTTTAAAAAGCAGGAATGTTTCTTGTTCAATGTTGGTATATCCCTATTTTCTTTACTTTCCACACTTTGCTTAGTGTCTTCTCAGTATTAATATCTAAAACAATGTTAGATTTTTACAGAACAAAGAAATTCATTTATTTAAATTAGTCTTCCATGAAATTTTCATAAGCTTTGTAAAGTTTTTTGCCATATTCTTATGTAACCTAAAAGGAAATATTTCTCTATTATGAATTCTTGGTTCTTACATCAAAAAGTTAAAGGAATAAAGAGTTATCAGTAATTACAATATATGTTATACAGATTGGATATAGAGAATTTAAAGTTTACCTTTTCTCCCCAGGTAGAAAATATGCAAAGAAGTGAATTTGCAAAGCAAACTGAACTATCTAAATTAGTCTTCCCTGGTCAAGGCCCTTTCTAGATATTGATGCTACAGCTCCCAGCCAATGGGATTACTGTTTAGAATTTTGGGTCTTTATACAGCTGGAGGGTGCCAAGTTGGAAAAGGCTGGCTTAAAGCTAACTATATATATAGTCTTTTCAGTTTTTTGTCCTTGCATATAATATTGAGTAGACTTCAGCTTCTTATCCTCCATCAATATATTTTTACAATATGTTTTGTGCTTGTAATTTTGTTCTGGTGGTCCTCAATTTATGACCACAATTGACCCCAACATTTCTGATAGTTGTTATGTGAGTTCTGCCCCATTTTATGCCCTTTCTTGCCACAGTTGTTAAGTGAATCACTGCACTTGTTAAATTAGTAACACAGTTGTTGAGTAAATCTGGCTTCCCCATTGACTTTGCTTGTCAGAAGGTTGCAAAAGATAATCACGTGACCTGGGACACCGCGACCGTCACAGATATGAGTCAATTGCCAAGCATCTTAATTTTGATCACATGGCCATGGGATGCTGCAACTTAAGTGTGAAAAACAATCATTAGTCACATTTTTCAGTGCCATTGAAACTTCGAACATTGTAATATTACAGTAGTAGTATGTTATAATATTGTCATTCATACAATATGCTTTTTCCCTTCTATAGATCACGTTTGGGCTGTCAAATTTGCTTGAAGAAATATATGAACAATATGACTGTCCGAGTGCCTGAAGCCGTTGCTGATGCCCGACAATGTATAGATATGAGCAAGAACCCATAAAATAATGCTTAAGGGTGTGTTTCATGATATTAAAAATATTTTACTACTTATTTCTAATTTTTAAAGAAATTGAAATACTCATCCTTTGATTATGTATGTTGAGGATAATGATCTATGTTAAGGATAAACATTCATTTTTAAAAATTACAGTCTTTTAATTTTTAAAAATTACAGTCAGCCTTATTTTGAGAGGATAAAACAAGAAGATATTTAAAAGAGACATGTGGAGTGATAGATAAAATACAGTTAAAGAGGAGGTTTCCTTTAAGGAAATTACTCCTTTTGTTTTCATTTAATAATGCATCATTACTGCTGCTGCTGCATTCATGTTTTCCCAAAATAATAATTACATGCTGGATTTGCAGTAGCTGAGAATAAAAGTTAAAATTTTAAATTACATTTTTCACACTGAAGTACTGAAAATACATTTACCAGAGAGTAAATCACTAGTGATATTAGTCACTATTAACTGATCAATTTTGGCACAAATTAATTGTAAGATTGTATAATTGTACAAAATCCTATTGAATCTCGTAGGAATTTCATATTCATAGTTTTATGCCATGTTATAGCCAACATGGGCATATACACCAAGACAAATTCTTTATGTGTCTCACCACACTTGGCCAATAAAGCATTCATTCACATGTTGGAAGCATTTCCAAAGGTTTTTTATCAGAAATACTACATAAGTACCATGTTGTTTTAAAGAAGTTGCATGGGCAAAGATGCATTTCTGGTTTTGTGGTATGTTTCATTTCATGAGCAGATGTTTTATTCCCAAAATGCTAGAAATATTCTTCCTAATAGAAAAAAGAAGGAGTTGTATATTCCATTGTGTATATTCCACTTCCTCTTTCCACAAATTGAAACTGGCAGCAAAGTAGACAGCACAATTAAAATTTTAAAATAAAAATATCTTCTTCTAGTACAGGAGTCTCCAACCTTGGCAACTTTAAGACTAGCAGACTTCAACTCCTTGAATTTCCCAGCTAATGGCTAATTTCCCAGCTGGAGAATTCTGGGAGTTGAATCCATCAGGCTTAAAGTTGCCAAGATTGAAGACCCCTGTTCTGGTACAAATAGCAACATTCAGGTGAACTTCTCTGGTGAGAGAACATCAGAAACTGAGAAGGGGCTTTTTTCAGTTACCACCCATCTCATATCTGTCAGCGCAGACACCTGAATGAGGGGCTCAGATTACTTCAGAATGAAGACAACTGGGAGATGCAACAGACATTTATTAGGATACCCTGATCCAAAGCCATGTAGGAAATTTCTTACATAGAAATACCAAATCCATGATATTTCTTACGTAGATCTTTTGAGTCTCTTCCATCTTTTGAAGTTGTTCATATATGCTCAAGTATGGGCCTTCAGCCTTCATACAATATTAATTTGTAGCGTATGGTATGTTATATAACAGAATATGATTAAACTATTTCCAGTATGAAAATTAAATTAAAATTAAATTAAATTGAAAATTAAATGAGCTAAGGAAAAAAACTAAACAACCGTCATGTTCCTCTGTCAGTCTATAGGAGCTAAATGGTCATATGGATTACAATGGAAATAGAAGAAAGGGAGGGGGGAAGGTATGATTTTAGTCCTCTGTTCCTTTGCATTTTGAAAGTAGGGAAGAAATTAATATTATGTAAATGTCTTAGATTTTGTTGAAAAAAAATCTTCATGGGCACTGGATATTTTTATTTATCTTCATTGACCATTGAAACCAACTGTGGCTATGAAATGACAAGTGCAAACAAACTTCACCGTCAAGGTGAAATGTTTCTTGAAATAGCTGGTATGAAAAACTAGGTAGAGTCAGCACAGTATCAATTTTGTACCTATCTTATAAATATTGATTATTTAAACTGCTGATGCAGTACTTAGCATTTTTCAGAATCTGAAAATAAACTCTATCTAGTTTTCTAAGCTCCTTCTTTGTGAGCAGATGTCTTTCATTTTCTGAATATTAACAATTGTCAGGAAATCTTATTTGACTGGAAGAAAGAGTTTTCTTGAAACAAATATAAATGGTTAAAGCAACGGATATCTTCCTTGCCTTTGGACTTTTATCTCCCCCCATAATAATCCTCATGGGAGATAGGTTAGGTTGCAAAAGAATGGTTGGTCCAGAATCACCTGGAGTGCTTTCAGGGCTAACAGCTGATCCAGCCCTAGTCCTATATGTGAAATAAATGTATTTTGGTGCATAACATTTGAACAATAAAATATAAACAGTTTATTATAACCCTTTCCTACACAATAGAGTTATATTATGTTTGTCCTTGTTACGCCGGTATAGCAAAAAAGTTTCTGTACTGAATATAACTGGCAGAAGAGGATCATCGCTCATTAATTTTTTGTGTGTGTGAATGTGCTTTATTTTTCAATTGTGAAGTTTTTGCAAAATAGATTTGAGAGAACCATTGTGTTCTCTACCACAGCTGAATACATCTGGCTTTAATATAAAAGCCAAAGCTGAATTCCTGGACTCTTGGCCATGCTTATAGTTTCTTTTATCAACTGTAGGTTTAAAGTGGAAGAAAAATTCACTAATAGATTCAGGAGTTCATAGGACAACTTAGAACAGGGGTGTCCAACCTTGGCAACTTTAAGACTTGTGGACTTCAACTCCTCTGAGGAATTCTGGGAGTTGAAGTCCACAAGTCTTAAAGTTGCCAAGGTTGGACACCCCTGGCTTAGAACATTTTCCATTATTGATAACTTTACCTGCATGAGGTGGGAGATAGAAATGATTAACATTTCAATTCTACTGCCTGCTTGCTCTGTGTATTGTGACAATAGTTTAGAATCTAAAGAGTTACTCCATCGTTTTTTTATACTTTGGCTGTTGCCAAAGACCATTGCATCTAATTCTGGGAACAGTGGGAGACCATATCTGGATAGACTGTCCTTTGAAGAAATGCCATTTGAATAATCAGAAGAAATATTTGTTTTAAAATCTGCTGTTTGCAAAAAAATAACAATACTGTTTCTGATTTAAAAAATGCTATCAGACAAATCTGTAACACGTTTTATATATCTGTTTTGGTGGATTCTCATATTTTAAAATTATTGATGCTTCCTGTTTTGACAGTTGTCTTTTGAATTAGTTTGTGATAGGTGCATAATTTGAAGGATCACAGATTCATTTTGGAAAAACAAAGTATTAGCTTGAGCAGGTTTAAATGCCAAAATGTGTATCAGCTGTTAAATCTGGCTGACAGCAAGTTTAGGACATTACTCTTGGTCAATTTTGCAGGGATTATACGACTTCTTCTATTAGAAAGATTTAAGGATTACCTTCTGCTCTGGTGTATACTGAAAACAGTCAACAGAAGTTAATATATGAATAAAATATGATTAAAGTTAAATACTCAAATCATCTAAGGAAAGATTAGTGAGATTTGCCAAATGTGTCTCCAAATGCTTACGGAAAACAGCACAGGAGATGGTATTCTCTTGTATGCCAGAACAATTAGTCTCTGACAATAGGGTCAAATTCAAAAGGCCCTCTTCTGTAGACCTTAACAACTGGACAGGCCATAATAAATTTGATCTTTTGAGAACAGTTCTGTGATCCTATTAGGTTAACAACAACAACACTTGGTTAAATACAGTTGGTTGATTGGATTGTGCAAACATAGTCATTATCAATGAACCAATCATTCTCCAAGTACCTTGCTAGTTGACACTCTGAAGAGCATTCCACAAACTGCAATATTTTGTTGCAATTTCCACTAGTTACAACCAAATTGTTTTAGAAGGGAAGTTTCTTTTCTAAAAGAAGAATCAAATATCTCTTGTTTGTAAAGCATTTTTTTTAAAAAAAAAAACAACACCAAGATTTTTTTCATCTCAGGAATTTCAGATCTTGAAGATTGTCATGTCTGCTGGGAAAGAGAAAAAATTACTTTCTGTTCTCAGAATGCAGCGATTTTCATTTTGTTTCTGTCTGGCTTTATCTCTTGCAGAGGGAAAGCTCATTTGGGAATTTCTGTTTGAAAGGACTGCATGAAACTATCTTGGTGTTCTCTTGAAACCTGTAGTATTGATAAGGTAATTTCGTCAGATCCCATTGGGTTGTGTACCAAGAATGACAAAGTTATTGATAAAGCATATAACTTCTAGAACAATTCCTTAGCGATAGCTCCATGCTATAGGATCTGTTGAACTTTGCCACAGTCTGCCAAAAGACTGAAATAATCTAAACTTTCATTTTAAATGCTTCTGACTATAATTCTTATTATCCTGCAGGGAATGAAAAGAAGAACAGCTAAAATACATACAACATTTTAGACGGGGAAATGGTTATACTTGGTACTGAGATACTTTTTTGTCAATTTTTCTTTCTTCTGCTTTTTTTTTTTTTTTTTTGCAAATAGGGCATAAATCCTCCAAAAGGGAGTATATTTTCTTTTCTTTCCAGCTGCCTTCAGTTCCAGGTGGAATACAGTTCTTTTGTGTTTAAAATTGCTCCAAAATCCTGGGCTGTTCCTGCAAAATAAGATATATTAACCTGTATTACCAATATTTCTTTTTATATGTACAGTACTGTAAAATTGAAGGGGCGATAACATAAATCCCTTCCAGCCTATCCCTTTTTGCAAGAGTTCCTCAGGAAATGGTAGCTATGATTCCTGACATCCTGGTCTGTCCAGTTGAACCGTTCTTCTCTTACCCAGAATATATCTCTTCAACTTAATTCCAGGGAAAATAAAAAGGGACGTACTTTGAATCTTTCTGCCTATACCCCAAGTACAGAAACTATTGGGCCTCTGAGTAATTTTGGATACTTTGGAATATTATGAGGCACACCCCGAAAAGCAAATGGCTTTGATATTTTTAGATGCACAAAAGGCATTTGATAATGTGAATTGGAGATTCATGCTATTATTATTGGAACAGATGGGCTTCGCCAGAAAATTTATTCAAGCAATAGAAGCCATATACCATAAGCAAACGGCAAAGGTAATGATAGAGGGAGAATTGACAGATTCCATCAATATAAGAAAAGGTATAAGACAAGGATGCCCACTATCACCTTTGCTATTTGTATTAACTTTGGAAGTGTTGAATAGAAATATTAGAGACGATAAGAGTATAAAAGGAATGAAAATTAAAAAGGAAGAATTTAAATTGCAAGCCTTTGTGGACGATTTGGTTTTTATTTTGGAAGACCCTTTAGAAACAGCACCAAAATTATTGGAAAAGATAGAGGCATATGGTAAGGTGGCTGGTTTGAAAATAAATAAAGATAAAACAAAGATCTTGACAAAGAATATGCTGCTAAGACAAAAAGAAGAACTGGCAGACCTATTGAAAATTCAAGTCACGAACAAGGTTAAGTATTTGGGGATAGATTTGACAGCAAGATGTAGCACATTAAAAGAGAACGATTACATTAAAATCAAGCAACAGATAGCGATAGATTTGACGAAATGGGAAAATCTACAATTGTCATTAATAGGGAGAATTTCAACAATCGATGAATATCTTACCCAGAATTTTATGCCTGTTTCAAACAATACCAATTAGGCTTGGAAAAGACTATTTTGAAGATTTAAATAAAATTGTGTTGAAATATATATGGCAAGGTAAGAAAGCAATTAGAGGAGGATTTGGTTTGCCTAGTTGGGAGTTGCACTACCAAGCTACAAACTTAATGTGGGCTAAGGAATGGATAACATTAAGAAATACTAGACTGTTGACACTAGAAGGACATGATTTGTTGTTGGGCTGGCATACTTTTCTATGGTATAAGGGAACTAAAACACGACTATTTTAGAAGACATCATATACGGGAGTCTCTG